TGTGAGGCACTTTACATTAATGCTCAGAAGGACAATGTAATAACAAAGTTCGTGTCTTAGCTCGAATTTTATTGTAGGTGTTCATGAGCTGCATTAGCCACTTTATCGTCTTCCATTACTTTCTTAAAAAGTGTTAATATAATTAAACTATACTATATTTTAAAGACTTAAGCATTTATATTTAACTAGCTGTTCCCCGCGACTTCGCCCGCGTGTAATTTAGGGTTTCAGTTTCTTTTGCGTGGAACCTTATTTATTTTTCTAAAATAATAGTAGCCTAAGTTACTCCTTATGACATCAGCTATCTGCCAGTAATAAGTCCCGTCAAAATCGGTCCAGCCTTTTCGGAGATTAGCTGGAACAAACAGACAGACAGATAATATTTTAAAAAAGTGTAATTTTGTTATAAGTACCGTTTATACTTTCATAAGCATTTAGTAAATCGCTGTAATTTTGACATTACAAACTGACACTTTAATTTTATTTATTTGTATAGATATTATAGATTTCATTTGACACAGCGAAAATTCGTTCCTCGATTCGCAGTACATGTCGACATCGTAAATCAAAATGCCCAAGCATATTCCACAACTATAATATAGTTTAGGAAGGCTTACCATATTATGGTAAGCCTTCCGGCTTGAAACAAAGGAATTATTGTGAAATAAAAAATGAGATCTGAGATAGTCGTTTTCGGTCAGATGATGAATCTAAGCAGTATGTTTCAAATTTTGCAACAGATTCTCATAACTTTTTAACTAATTCAAGCCATGAAATACTCAAATAATACATGCATTTTAGTTTTTTCTTGGAAACATAATATGTCGTATTGAATTTACATTGCTATCACAGAGGTTTTCCAAACCGGTAGTAAATTAAACAAAAGAGTGACTTTCAATAAGTATTATGTATAATCTATATTGAATAAAAAAGTTTCTATTTCTGTTTCAATGTTCTTCGAGTGTGTGTATAGATATAAAATAATATAGATATTTCTTTGGCACACTTTATAGCCTAAAACGGCTTAATGTATTTTAGCATATTATGGGGTGTTGTTAGGTTCGTCTTAGTTGTGGAATTGAAATAGGGTATAACATTTTTTCCTTTTCCATAATGTAATTTAACACAGTTATGGTGAAAAATAATAAAATAAATTGCGAAAAATCGATCGAAATTTAACTTAACTTTCAAATTTGAATTTAGAATAAGGATTTTTTTATTGTTACATTATTTATGGCCAGACAAGCTAACATTATTACCAAATTTTGATTTTCAAATGAGTCTGCTAATCTTTGCACGCCCGTCTGTTGCTATGATTATTCTGTTATTGACATAGATATTATTATTTTATAGTGACTATGCTTACAATTGTCCTCAATTTTTAAATACATTCATCTGAAATAAACCAATGTCATGTCAGTTCTGTGAACGAATTACATATAAATTTAATTGCGCTTGTAATATGTTACCTACACCTTTTCATTTATGAAATATGAATGAAAATGAGTGAATTTCGTATAAGATGAAATGCTTTATTTATAAATATCACATTTATATTTATAAGTTTATTATATTTATAAGTTTATTGTATTTATATATATAATATTAGTTTATTTTTAAGTTTATCAGTAGTTTTTTTTTTCCTTGATATACTCTATTGTTCATTTTATTTTGTCACCTATCACCTAATTTCCACACGTCCCGGGTTGACTGGGAGAGAATGCCTAAAGGCATTAAGTCCGCCCTTTGTAATCCTTTAATTAAGGCGCAGGTTGAGCAAAATGTCGCGCCAGTCGTTATTTGGGCGGTTTTTAGAAGCTATCTACTTTTTATTTAAAAGATATATCAACAAATAAAAAACACATTATATTTCTACATAATCTTGATTCCATAAAAGCTATATCCAATTTTTTTTTAAAGGAATACATATTAATATAATCTCCTTACAACGAAACCACATAAATGTGAAATTATTATTGATAACATGCATCTCCTCGTAAAGTAAGTATTATTTTGTTTTGCGATTTACACCAATGGATAGGCAATTTATTAATGAACATTTCTATAGTAAAATTTTTTTCAAAAGACCAAAATTTGATTTTATTAAGAAATTATTTTAAAATCTGGGCGTATATACTGCTCACGGGCTTGATGAAGTCAGTGAGCGCTGAGCTCTTCGACGGGAAGCCCGTGTCGTTAGAGCGTCGACCGACGCATACGCCACGTCATATGAGTCGATAATATTATTACTTATTAGGTTATTTATAGGTAGTATTATTTGTTTGTTTTGGGTATAATTTTTCGTATTAGTTATACATATATTTGTTGTGTTTTTTACTGCGCGATGAAGATTTTTGCGTGTATTTTCTTTGAAGTAAATACAAATAAAAAAATGAAGCACCATTAGCATGTAAGGTTCGAATCCATAATTAAAATTTCGACAAATATTATAATTTACATTACACTATAAAAGGCTAATTCAATATTATCACCCAACCACAATATCTTATCAGGTATACTACTGCCTCGTTGGTCTAGTGGTTGTAGTAGTGCGACTGCTGATCATGAGGTCCCGGGTTCGAATCCTGGGTTGGGCCAAAAAGTCAGTTATGAGTTTTTCATTTATGTTCTAAGTTATAATTAGTATTACCAAGTTATAGTTTTTTGCTAAAATATAGTATATGATTTATTGCTTGTTTTTTCTTCTTTTTCAAAAAATAATTGAGTACATAAGGTGTTCTATACTTATATCTCGGTAAAAAGTACTAATATACCTACTTTTTACTATAAACTAAAAAATTTTAAAACTAAATTTAACTAAAAAGACTAAGCTGACCATTTATTTTTTAACTCATAACAGGACATGGGTTTATTTATACTCTAAAAACTATAACTTTATACAATTAGTGTTCACTATAAAATTATATTCGGTATAGACGGTAATTATTAAATGCAACATATTTTTTTTAATTATTAATTACATTTGTCAGTGGATTAAATTTGCTTTAATAAAGTTGGTGATGATTTTAAATAAGAATAAAATTCTGCTCAAGTTTTTTATTGTTATCTTTGTTAACAACATCGCCTTTAGAACTCTGGAACCGTAAGTGTTTCTTTCAGACGTCCACAATTTATGCAAAATAAAAAAATACTCTTTCTACCGGAGCATTCGTACCAGGTAGACATAAAATATATTCGATTAAAAAAAATTATGTTGAAGATTGTTGACTTTGAATACTTCCATCCAACGAGTTACGGGACAATTTTGTGTCCCGGTGCTTTGTTTGGGGACAATGGGACAGGAGACCGAGAAAAGGGACAGTCCCGTTCAAAACGGGACGTATGGTCACTTTAGCTATAACCCGGCGACCATGAAGCAAATACAAAGTTAGTCTTTGTATTAGCTTCATGGTGGCGCAGTGGCTTAGCAATCAGTTGTTGCGCTGGGGGCCGCGGGTTCGAATCCCGCATGGAACAAGATTTGTATGGCCTCCAAATAATTGTTCCGGGTCTGGATGTTTGTCTTTGTGCAATTTATGTTTGTAAACTGCCTCCACGACACAGGAGAAAATCCTAGTGTGGGTGTAATGTTTTTTTACAACTGAAATTGAAAGATTGAACCCTTATACTTCTTGTTGATTTTTGTATTTATATATTTTTTATTGCACCAAATATTTGTACAAAAGCCGAGTTATCTATTTATTTACCTATAGTGAATAGGTATCTTTTAAACTCACAATTTTCAATGCTTCCGTTTATATAATTAATTATAAAATTTCATAATTAGATAATATATGAAAATACATAATTCTAATATAATGCAACTAATATATACAGAATAAAAAAATTAAAATACATTTATCTTTGTACGCTATGTGTATTTCCATAAAACAGTTTATTGATGTTGAAAAAATAATACTACTTTCGTACAATAGGTGGCGTCTTACATATTTCTTCCGGCGAGCCGCTCGCTACAATATACTCGTATTAATATTGTAGCGAACGGCGCGCCGGTCAAATGCTCAAGGTCGTTCGCATGGAGTAGCCCCTTAAGGTGCAATAAAGTGTAAATAAATAAAATAAATTTATATCATATTCTTACGAATCCTTTTTTTGGTTTCGTTTATTACATTAATTTATTAATGTCTCTATTGTTTTACGAAAATATATCTACTTAAGATATAAAAATAAATTTTTGTTTGTTCGTATTTTATGCGGCTCTTGCGCGTAAGTTATAGGCATAGTACATTTAAATTACAGTAGATGGCGCGCGTATTGTACTGATAAATTTATTTGAAAGTGATATAATATAACATTCAACTTCATTGAATGTATTATCAGTCCTAAATAAACAATATAACTCTTTCGAATTTAAAACTACATTTACATATAACTATTTCTTCTGCAGCTGCAACGCGCCGAGTACCAGCTAGTTTAGTTATATTATATAAACATTTATTCCGGGACACGTGATAAATTTTATTTTTGGACAGATTTTTAAACAGAATATATATTTTTTTTATATGATCGGTGGTTGCTGTGGCCCATAGACATCTACATTTATCCTCGTTTGCGAATCAAAATGCAGATGCGTTGTCAGCCGTGAGGACTAAGATAGAATGCCTCTTTTCCAGTAAAAAGGGTCTCCGGTTCTCTACACTCACCATACGAAACACAGCAGTTTAAACTGCTATTTTACGCTGGTATTCTGTGAGAGCGTGGTCCTTCCCCGATCGAGCCGGCCCATTCGTGCTACAACTATACTACTAATATAGCTGCAGCATGGCTTTACCACGTTAATATATAGAATAAAACTACATTTACGGATTTTATCGCGTTTAATTAACTTATTTTTATTAATTCCCGCCGTTTTTATTCAATGTGTAGTGTTCGCGTAAATATAAGAAAACATTACAGAATATATATACATTATAGCAACGTATTTCTAAAAAAATCGTCTTATTTTTAGTCTATATAACTATTATTTCATTTTGTTACAGATCAGGCTGGTGACCACATGTCGGCTTCATAATGGTCATCGTTACCAGAGTGAGTACTACTGCTTGGAATGTTCATACTTTTAACAATAACATTATAGGCATTAATATAATGACATGTATACAAAATGTATAATTATATACTACTTATTGTAGAGATATTGATTAGCGCTGCGTTTCACTTATAGTACCATTATTTTTTATTTTTATTAAACTTGGAATTTAAAGATTAAATCAAAAGTAAATAAAAGTATAATCAGATTAACAGGTATTTTCAATAAGTGAGTATAAGTGATTACCTAAGTTGAGTATTCGCTTAAATATAAGAAATCATTATGTGATCCAGTACGGACTGGTAACAGTAAAATAAATAAAGTAAACGCGATAAAATCCGTAAAAATAGTTTTTATTCAATGTGTAGTAATCGCGTAAATATAAGAAATCATTGTAAATACCTAAGTTATACTAATATGGCAATAGCTCTCGTAAATTGAAGATCTAACAAATTCACATCTTTAGTTAAGAAAACATTTGAATGGAAACCCCGTCCGAGCAATAATAAAGTGTGAGAACGGATGTTGAATTTGCTCTCTTACTTGCGTATTAAATCATTATTAGTACAACTATTAGACATTTTTGCTTATACAAAACACTTATTATTTACCTATATAAATTTATAATAACTTAATTCTTAATTATTTTAATTAAAATACTTAAATCTAATTATTTAATAATTGCAAAAAAACTTAATAAATTAATTGATGTATAAAATTTCGAAATATTGTTGGTCTATTTATTTAAATGCGCACGACTAACAGCCCTTTCATGGATACTCTGACTGAGCCGGCGCAAACCGGTTTGTACCCCGACGGAGCGTCGGTGAACCTGTCGGTGAGAGCTAACGCACACATCGCTGCGCTATGTATGGGTGTATTCGCCGCGAGCCGTTTGTATGTAGCTTCCCCTCTGGTCGGTTTCTTTACTCATGTGGTGCAGGTCACAAACACACGTTACGTGATGGACGTAAATACATGATAACACCAAAATGGATAAAGTATGTTAACCAGACACAATACTGCCCATCACGATGTCTACTGGTCACATTCGTCAGCTTAGCCGCAAAAGACTCTTCTCTGCTTCTTATAGCGAAATTCTCACAATGAACAGAATCACTTTTAAACAAGACAAACTATTGAATGACTTGGAAAGTAGTCTAAACAAGCTTTCGCATTTTAATCGCAATTCTATTTCCCTATTAAAAAAAAACATAACAATTAAAAATCTTTAATTTCTTTCTGTGATTTTTTTTATAGAATAATGTGACAAACGAGCACACAGTCCACCTGATGGTAAGTGGACGCTGTGGGCCATAGATATCTACATCTATCCTAGATTAAGAATCTGCAAATAAGAGCAACCTGGATTCAGCTCCAATGAGATTGTTAATTGAAATTTTAAATGCTGATATTTTATGCGCTCTGCGGTGAAGTTAAACATCGTGAGGAACATGCATGTCCGAGAAATTAAAAAAAAATACATAGATACTTTTCGAAGACATTTGTAGTCTGCCAAGATGCCGACCATTGCTTGCCCTAAAGCCCTCCCAGTAATGAGAGAAGACGTGTTTTCAGGAGTGGGACGTACATAATATATTATAGGCTGTAACTTTACTTTATAAAGAAAAAAGAAAGGGATCTCGAGTGATAGGAATAGTTCTCAAGTGGCAGCCTCCTTTCCAACCTGTAGGCGAAGTGTAGGGTGGGCCGATACTCGATTAAGTGACGAACTGGCCATCTGGCAAATGCCATCTGCCATCTGGCAAAGGGCCCTGTTTTATGGCATTTTTATAGGAGGCCTATGTTCAGCGGTTACTTACTTATGATGGTTTGTAATGATGATACAGTTACCGTTTCAGCCTACTAAAGTCCACTGATGAACACAGGCCTCCCCATAGATTGCTTCATAGGGGGTATATTTGCCATAATTTTTGTTTTTTTTTTTAAAAAATGAATTTAAAAAATACCCCCACGCTAGGATTTTCTCCTGTATCGTGGACAAACACAAATTGCACAAGGACAAACATCCAGACCCGGAACAATTATTTGTAGACCATACAAATAGTTGTTCCGTGCGGCATTCGAACCCGCGGCCCCCAGCGCAGTAACTCATTGCTAAGCTGCGCCACGGAGCCGTCAATTGCTACGCTTAGCAAGCTGCAACCGTAGTTTTTTATTTTTTGTCGTTATTAAGAAGACGCTGCTGCCCATTTCCTGATTTGTTTCCCTATGTCGTCTCTACGACACCTACAGGATAACATGGAGGTAGTGGATATTATACCCACACTCTCACCATTATGATACTTACACCAACACTACACGGTGACGTAATGATGATGATAATGGAAAAATAAAAAGAAGACAATATATCGTAGCACTATGGGTTGGCGGCGTATGAAAGTCAACTTCTCTGTTTCGTTCTGGTTCAAAGATTTTAGTGTGCGACCACCAAGTTGGCTATCAGCAGTATGAACTTATGAGATCGAAGTAACCCCGCGCCGGGAGCGGTTCTCTTTATTAAGAGATAAATTCATGTTCAACCGTTGACACTACTGGCTGATGAAGATGCATATAATGACGAACAGTGTTGACGTATAGATAAAATAACTTTCAAAATTTTATGAATGAATTTAACGTACTTCTTACAATAAAACTTTACTCACAAACTAAAACAGCCGTAGCATAGTTATATTTTATGTAAGCCGTCACGAAGTTTCACATTGAACAAAAAGAAGACCTCTATGTGCCCTAACAGGGTTGTCAATTACACAAAATGTAATTAAATAATAATTCTATAGATATGCTCTACTAACAATAAAATTATGAGCATCCATAATTGATTGATTCAAATCGAGAATAAAAAACATAACGAAGTAAATAATGCCATAACTAAATTCAAAGAGAATGTAATTACTGACTAATTTAGTACATCAATTTACTTGGCTAAGTATAGCCATTCAGCGGGGAAACGTAGCCAGCGTTCATGGTACGATACCGCGGGGAGTAGGACTGTTTGATAATTAAGTTACTAGTTTTAGTTTTCTTTTAATATTGTATATAATAAAAGATAATTAATACGTGGTATGATATAACGATATAATAAAAGAAATTTAATACGTGGTAGAGCCATGCTGCAGCTATATTTCTGGTATAGTTGTAACACGAATGGGTCAGCTTGACCGGGGATGGACCACGCTCTCACAGAATACCAGCGTAAAATAGCAGCTTAATGCTGCTGTGTTTTGTATGGTGAGTGTAGAGAACCGGAGGCCCTTTTTACTGGAAACGAGGCATTCCATCTTAGTCCTCACGGGTGACAATGCATCTGCATTTTGATTCGTAATCGAGGATAAATGTAGATGTCTATGGGCCACAGCAACCACTTACCATCAAGTGAACTGTGTGCTCGTTTGTCACCCTTATCCTATATTAAAAAAGATAATTAACTGAGTAATTTACTTTTGTATGACAATAAATTAAAAGTAAAAATAAAGGCACGGAGTACCATAGCGCATCCTTTCATTTATGAGTGTTTTGGAGCGATTAGATCGCCGTGTTGCTCTAGTGCGTAAAACTTAAATACTAATGTGACTTTAAGTGGGGAAACGTTGCTCTTGTTGATACCGTTTTACTGAGAATCACTCTACTCTCTTCCGTGGGGCCTCCGTGTGCGAGTAAATAAACTAGCAAACAGACTTTGTTCTGCAACGCTTAGTTCTTCAACGCTGGTGAGACTAAAAACGATTTTTAGTCTCACCAGCGTTGAAAGAGCTATCTTATAAAAGTTACTAGTTTTTTTTAAGGGTGACAAACGAGCACACAGTCTATCTGATGGTAAGTGGATGCTGTGGCCCATAGACGTCTACATTTATCCTCAATTAAGAATCAAAATGCAGATGCGCCGCCACCTCTGAGGACTGAGATGGAGTGCCTCGAAAACACTCTCTGGTTCTCTACACTCATCATACGAAATACAGTAGCACTGCACTGCTATTTTACGCTGGTAATCTGTGAGAGCTGAGAGCGTGGTCCTACCCCCGTCGAGCCGACCCATTATCCATTCGCAATCACATTATAGCTACAGCATGGCGCTACCAAATAAAATATTAAACTTTAATTTAATAAACTATTATAAAATATTTTATTAATTATTTAATAAAATATTTTATAATAGTTTATCCCAGACCAGCATCAGGAAGCAGCGTCGAAGGTTGAAATTTTAATTCGCCTGCCTAATTGTCGTCAACGCTTGTGACGACAATTCAAACCAAACGTTGACCAAACGATGTTAAGGCAAATCTTTCCTACAAACTGTCAAAGCCCATATTTAGGAGTGAGCTTTTACGGATTGATGATGAAGAAGAATATATTAACTTAGTGATGACCTGGTAAGACATGCAGGAAGTCGATGGATGCACGTGGCTCAGGTTCATGATTTGTGGCATTTCTTGGGGGAGGTCTATGTTGAGCAGTGGACTTGTGAAAGGCTGTAATGATATTTACTTTGGCTTCTCGATACATTTATGAAAATGTACATAAAGATATACGGAATTTAAAAAAACATAGAGTCAGTAATCTATAAATGGGATATTCAGTAAATATATCATTTAAAGCTTTGACAAGAAAATCCTAGAAAATATACAAAACTGTGTAAAAAGGGTTAGTTTAATATTGAGGAATACGTGGACGACATAACACTTAGAAAGAGGTGATCGGCTACCAAGTAGTTTCTTACATGACTTGTATTATTATACTATATAATAGATAATCGTAAACTGTTCTGCTGGGTTTCTTGCTGGTTCTTTCCAAGACATAGGTATTTTCTGTTACCCTTACAGCCTATTAAAGTCAATTGCTAAACATAGGCCTCTCCCTCATACGGGGGATATTTGCAATGCTTACAACGCTTGGCAAGCGGTTTCAGGCGACATATGCAGGTTTTTTATTTTTAATCGTTATTAGCACTACTGCTCATTTCCTGATTTGTTTCTGTTTA